AGTTTCTCATGTAGCTGTAATTAATGAAAAAAAATATAAGAATTAAGTAATGGGAATCAATTATGGGTTTTTGACCCTTTTGCCCCTAATTAAATAATTAATAACCAATTTGCCCCTCCCCCAGAACTATCCACCATCCTGCCCCCATTTAGTCGATTATGTTGCACTTTTAATCGACTAAATGGGCTAAACTCAGAAATTATGAAACGCGAATTTTAGTCGACTAAAAACTCATCTTAATCGACTAAATTGTTTGCACTTTTAGTCGACTAAGCACATTATTTAGTCGACTAAATGTCGCAGATCAGGTTTTTAAAAACCCCCTCATTTCACAAAGGGGGTTATTTTCAAACCCTAATCGACTAAAAGGCTGCATTCCGTCCCCTCTCTCCAACCAAGTCCGAATCTCAACCCTTGAAGGTGCGATTGAAGCTTCCTTGGTTCACACTTGCGAAATCGATATTTAGGTAACGTATTCTGACTTGCATTTGGTTTTAAGTTTAGTTTTTATTTTGGTTTTCTTCATGCATTTGATTTATGTTTGCGGTTTTGTGGATTTAGGTTAGGGGTAGGGTGCTAAGTGTGTTGTGAGGGTGAGGGTTAGGGTTGATGTGGTGCCTTAGGCGTAGGGTTAGGGTTATGTTAGGGTTAGGGTTAGGGTTAGGGTTTACGTTGCTGTTTTGGTTGGGTTGTAGTGTTTAGGGTTAGGAATGGGTTTTTGTGTTTTGTTTTAGGGTGTAGGGTTAGGGTTAGGGTTAGGGTTGAGGGTTAGGGTTTCTGTTTCTGTTTTAGGGTTAGGGATTGGGTTTCTGATTTCTGTTTTATTTTATTTTAGGATTAGGTTTTGTTTTTTATATTGAATTTTAAATTTTTTGATATTGTTATTGTTCATTGATTTTTGTTTCCACTTGCATTGTAGGTACAGTTTTTCCCATGGCTGGCCGTAGAAGATCGTCTAGCACTGGAAATGAGAGACGACAAAAGCTACGACAAGACCATCCGTCTTCGTCAAGGCCACAAGAGGAAGACCCCGCTGTTGTGGACCTCTCATTCGGATACTTGTTCGAGAATGACCCGGTGGTTCATGAATCTTTTGTCCGTGACTTTGTTAACCGACCGATTTGTGGGGCCAAATCACTTGATACAACCTTTTTTGAACAAGAAGGTTTTAACATTGTGAGGTGGTTGGAGGAATCACATCTTAGGACCTTGGCTGAACTGTCGTGTTCATATTCTGAGCTGCATGTACGGGCCTTCTACCATAATCTCAGCTACCATCACGGTGAGCTGAGGTCTAGGGTCTGCGGGGTGGACATCATCATGACGGCTCCGGTATGGTTGGAGTTACTGGGGTATGACTTTGATTCTGCGCAGACTGTGGAATATGACGCAGACAGCGGGACCATACTTCCAGGATATACACGCGGTGATGCCGTGCAGGAGCAGAGGAGAGTCCGTGGGCAACACATTGCCTATACGGTGGGGTTGCTTACTGTGGAGTCTCGCATACTACACTATGTCATCACCCACATTTTGTTTCCGCGAGCGTTCAATCATTCCAGGGTGTTGGAGCATGACATTCCCATCATGTGGGCTATCCGACATGGTACTTCGGTGAACTGGAGGCACTACGTGTGTTGGATGATGTATAAGGCCAAACACAAGGGTGCACTTCCATTTGCTTGTCTTGTTCAGAGGATATTGGAGCATTTTGATGTTCCCATGGGTAATGTGACCTTGAAGAAGACCATAGGGTATAATCATAAGTTTGGAAAACGTCTACTGGAGCAGTGCAAAATGACAAAGAACCCCCAAACAGGAGTGTGGCAGTTCACAGGTGCGGCTGATGTTGAGGTTCCTGATGTTGCTCCAGTTGTAGACATGGTTGACCCCGAGGTGGAGGATGATGATGACGATGATGATGAGGGTGACCAGCAGGAGATAGCTGAGCCTGAGGGTGGGTTTTCATTACGTGATGTCATGAAGGGCATAAACGCCACGCTGAAGAAGATAGGAAAAATGGCGCTGAAACACAAAAAATGGAGGAAGAGTCACGTGCAGAAGGGAAATGAAAGATTTAGACATATACAGGGACGGTTCAAGGGTGTTGAAGATAGGCTTGCTCGTCTAGAACTTGGACGAGGACAACAGATTGAGGATGTTGCAGGGCAGGGGGCTGATGTGTCAGATGAGGATGACGAGGAGACGGCATCTCAGACCCTACGTCCAAATTTAAACTTATCCGTCAGTACGAAAGAAAACACAAATATATATATATGCAAAATTAAAACTTTATATTACAATCTTACCACTGCTAACAGGGTCAACACGGAGCGGTGGCATAACCTGGGAACTCAAGTTTCCTGAACTAGTATCAGCGTCAAAATTCCCCTCTACGTCCGTATCTGAGGTCTCACCCAGCGGAATAACACTCTCGGGTTCACCATCGTCTTCACTGTCCATATCCTCGTCATGCCCATCATCATCCTCGTCTATTTCCCTCAGTGGTATCTGACTTAAGACAGGTGCAGGTGCAGATAAACCGACCACTCTGTCTTCTTGACTTTGACTTCTTCCATGCACAGGTGCAGATGAAGATTGACCACAGTCTATTTCAACATATATCTCAATAAAGTTTTGAAATTTTCGGTCCACAATTGCATCTATGACACAATCCACATCTTCATCGTCACATATATCATTACCAATGTAGAATATAGCATCCTTACCAACTGTAGACTCTACCCTGGCGATCATCCGTTGAACGCCATGGCTCCCGTGTAGCCCCAATTTTTGGTTAATCCTCCCCTTCAACTCATTGTACGTAGTGCCCCGTTTGATTTTCAACATTTTTGTTTTTCCTTCAAATTGAACACCGTTGGGGCCTTCATAATGCTTTCCATCATAGTAAATCATGGTAACATACATGTTTGGACTTGAGCTCATCTTTCACACGAATTTTGGGGGTAGGAATCGGATTTTAGGGTTTTGGGTTCGGATTTGGGGGGGAAAATTGAGAAATAAAGGAAAATGACAATGATTTCACAATTACTATGCCTTAGAGGTGGTGTGATGAAATGGAAGGGTGATTGGAAGGTTCACAGCTGACAAACAAGAGAAAGAGACCAAGGGAGGAGTTTTACATTCGAATATAATGAAAATGAGACCAAGAGAAGTCTGGATATAGGGTTTTTCGCGATATTTAGTCGACTAAATAATGTGATTAGTCGACTAAAAGTGCAAACAATTTAGTCGATTAAGATGAGTTTTTAGTCGACTAAAATTCGCGTTTCATAATTTCTGAGTTTAGCCCATTTAGTCGATTAAAAGTGCAACATAATCGACTAAATGGGGGCAGGATGGTGGATAGTTCTGGGGGAGGGGCAAATTGGTTATTAATTATTTAATTAGGGGCAAAAGGGTCAAAAACCCAATCAATTATGGTGTATTTATTTTGAATGAGAGTCACATAAACCAATTAAGTAATTAGAATTAATTAATAATAACTTAATGAGAATTAATTATGGATGGATCAATTTTTTTTTGTCTCTCTTTTCTTCGTTGGATCATTTTCATATGTGTGGAGGGTAAATATTAAATCCTAAATTTGTTATAGAAAATGGGTGACAGTAATAAGAAGACTGATTAGGTGATATCAAGGTTTCTTATATTTGTTTTTTACGAGTATGCCTCTCAACGGGCTACGTGAAAATAATATTTAAAACACACCAATTTGAATTTTATATATTTATTCTACCAAGATAAAAAAAAGGAAAAGGATAAAATTTTACCGACCTTTGCAAGTTTTTTTGACCCTTTTGCTCCTCATTAATTAATTAATAATTAATTTGTCTTTCATCCAGAACTATCCATCAACCTATCCCTATTTAATCGACTACGTTGAATATATAGTCGATCAAATGGTCAAAAGTCAGAATTTTCAGACCACGAAATGTAGTCGACTAAAAATTCATCTTGATCGACTACACATTTGGGAGGTTCTGACTTTTGACTAGGGGTGTTAACGAGCCGAGCCGAGCCGAGCTTTGGTCTTAACGGGCCGAACCTGTGTTCAAATGTGTCAGACTGACCTTAGCCCGTTACCTGTTACGAATATAATATCAGCCTGTTGCATTGCTCATTTACAAAAAACAAAAGCCTGGTTTAGTCTGTTAGCCTGTTTTTAAAAAAAAAGACAACAAAAATTTATCCAAACAAAATATACAATCAACAGCACTAGTAATTTCATAAATATTCATAAATTTAATGTATATCCAAATAGCATAATATAAAATAAAATCATTCAAAAAGTATTTTTAATTAATAAAATGGGATGAAATGAATTGAGAAAAGAGAGGGCTATCACAAGTAGTATAAAAAATAAAATAAAAAATAAAAAATAATATATTAGGCAAGCCTGGGTCCAAGCCTGAGAGGCTGTAAGGCCGAGCTTTTGAATTGGAGTCTGATGCCTTTTTATTAAACGAGCTTTTATACAAGTCCAAGCCTGAGTCCAACAATCAATTTTAGACATGTAAGCTCAAGCCTTCACGAGCCGAGCCAAAGGCCCCTGGCTCGTTTAGCACCCCTACTTTTGACCATTTGATCGACTATATATTCAACGTAGTCGATTAAATAGGGGCAGATTGGTAGATAGTTCTGAATGAGGGACAAATTGATTATTAATTAATTAATGAGAGACAAAATGATAAAAAACAGACCTTTGCAAGTGGATCGACACCTTTCTTATAAAATTGTAAAATTATTATTATTATTATTATTGTACGAAAGAAATATGTATTTGAGGTACTAAACATCTTGATTATTAAATCTTTCTGAAAAGGTCAAAATTAAAACAAAAATGCAAATGACATAATAAAATAGGCACTTAAGTGGGGGGGAAAAATCTATTTAAAAGGAAACAAAAAAATAAAAAAAATAAAAAAATTCCTTTATTAACTTCAGTTCAAAATCATAAATGTTCCCTTTTCCCATCTAACCCCAAACAAATCCTAATGCAAATTTGGAGAGGAGCTCCTCCCTGGAAAGAGGTAGAAAGGCGGCGCTGTTGGCTTGTAAGGGTGCTGCTGGCAGAAGAAATTGGTTATAAGAGTGTGTTTCTGGAGTAAACGCATTTAGGTGAGTCTTTTGTTTCTAATTTTAATACTTTTAGTAGTGACTAGTGAGTGCTCAATAATACAGAACTACTGAACATTTATTCGTGTTCCTGATTGTATTAGTTACAGCACTGTGTTGTTGAGGGTGATGAGGACCCTGGTGAGATTTTTGTGTTAGAAATCATGGGAACAAAGAGGTCTCTTCAAGATGCAGATGAAGTGTTTGAGAAAATGGTAGAGAGGAATTCAGTGGTTAACCAAAGGGCACTTCGGGTAAACCTCCAAATACTCTGCTCACTCTAATTTTTAGCTAACAGATCACCCTCCGCCCCATTGTGTCCGAGTGTTGCCTTTGGTTTTATGGCCATAAGATTTTGGCTGTCTTCAACATTCAAACCCAAGAGCAGTGCATTGGCTTTTCAAGTTTTCCTTGTGCAATTTTTTCTTGCCTTTTCATTTTCATTTTCATTTCTCTTGACCTCTACTAACCTCCTGTGTCCATGTTTCACTACTTTGAGTCTTGTATAAGAAGGACAACGACCGCACCTTCTGCCATCATATTCTTTCATCTTTTGGGGCTGATTGACCATCTTGGTCCATTTTTATGTTTTAGTGCTTAGTGGTATGTGGGACTGTTCCATTTCGTTTGCAAAAAACATCATGGGGAATAAGGGCGTAATGGGCATAAGGGCATTCAATGCTACATTGTAACTTTCATTTTCAGAAGTCATGGCTGGCCTTATTGCTATATATAATGGGCATTCAATGCTACATTGTAAATTTCATTTTCAGAAGTCATGGCTTGCCTTATTGCCATATATAATGAGCATTCAATGCTACAGTGTAACTTTCATTTTCAGAAGTCATGGCTTGCCTTATTGCCATATATAATGGGCATTCAATGCGACATTGTAACTTTCGTTTTGATCACTATATTTTATTAAATGATTTTAAATGGTTGATAGTTAGAAAAATGGTATTTTTTTAATTTTGTTCCCATTAACATTAATGACAAATCAGATTACAAGGAACTTTAAAAAGGTGAAATAATTATAAGGTTTACCATGAATCCAAGTCTATATTAATGCTATTCTTAATTTTCATTGTCTCTTGGCTTGTAGAGTTGCCATTGAATGTGAGAAGAAAGGATTCGTGCAAAACTATGAACATGGTCAAGTGATGGAGAAGTTGATCTCGATGGTTTGGGAGATGGAGAACCTCCGTGTGGAGATTGTGAATGCAAAGAATAGAGCATGTGTTACTGCTGCAGCTGGGAATTCAGGTATCCAATTCTACATCTGTGTATTTGCTTTGTAGTGTAGTCTTAACAAGTTAGTTAATTGCAATTAGTGACCTCTAATGGCTTGAATGATGAACTTTTGGTTTTCATGTTTTGAGAAATTGCAATTTTTGGCCGACTATGAGTCTATGACCCTTGTACCTTGGAATTTGTTCTGATTAATTGACCAATTTCTTGTTTCTTTCCATGAAATTTAAGCCTACCAATGCTCTCGGTATCCTTCTTTGCTTTGATTTTATTAATAAAATGAAGGTAAACCAGCACATTTGTTCTGATTTGAACCAGCACCTCTGTGGAGGTGATTTCACGAGACAGTATCAAAACAAACGTGCTGATTCACCTAGGGTATTTGCAATATATGTTTAATAAAAGCGTCTCTCCAAGCACTATTTGTCTTCCAAACCAAGACACGATAATTTTGGGCCAACCCCTAACTAGTATTTTTCTTTTTTGACAAAGGTTGGTCAATCAATCCATCTTTTGTTTTCATTCTTTTATATATATTTTTTTATAGTTAGTTATTATTTTATATATTTTTTTTGTCATCATTATAAAAAGAAGTAAGAATAATTAGGACAAGATGGTGTTTATATGCCCATAGCCATATTATTCTTTTCGTTCATTTGGAGGCATAATCGACAATCATGTATTCATTGAACCTGAATCTTAATGTTTATTATTGTTAATTAACTCACTTATTATGGCGGGCAAGCCTTAAAGCGGAAATAAGATTATTCCTATATGACCGAAAGGGTATGAGTTTGAATGAGAAATAATATTTTGCAAAATTATAAAAGCTGTGTACAATCGATTTTTATCTCTATCTTTGCAAAGTTGAGGAGTCTGTGTGTATCAAAATTTGTCCTACAGCTCACTCATAATGGGAATGATCGCAATAAGGCCAACCATGTGAGCCCAAGTATATGTTGATCCTTCGTTGCCCAATTGTGGCTAAAATCCATTCTGAATTTTTTTGAGAAAACTAATTATTAAATACTATAAAGAAGTAATAAAATGTCAATTTGGGATTGTCTAATACATATGGGCATGTCATGTTATTTTACGTGGCGTGGCGTGGCGTGGCGTTTTATAAGGTGTTTCTTAGAATCTGTTTGACATCTTATTTTTTGAAGTTAAAAGTCACTTTTAAGCTAAAACTAAAATATAAACTTTAAAAATAGAATTAAAAGCTACTTGATGATATATAAAAATTTTAATTTAAAAATTACTTAAAAGCTTAAATTAAAAATAAGTTGATACAACTTAAAAAAAGTTTCTCTTGAACTTTTGGCTTTTGATTTTTTTTATTATAAAAAAACTCTTTATTATAAGAGATTTTTGTCTGTTTGAACTAGCTCGTGTTTATAAAAAAAAAAGAAATTAAAAATAAGAGCTCCGAAGAATAACACCTTCAATATGAAAAAAAGTTGTAAACTTCCGTGCCTGGAGAATGATGTTTCAGCGTACAAGCACAACACGGATTGTAGTTGGTAATCTTGACTTCTATTACTGGTTTGATTCTTTTCCTCTTCCGAAAAATGTGAAAGTGTAATAGGTAAAGTCCTGCTAATTGTGTTAAGCTTTTGGAAAATTAATTGTGAATTTATGGTGCATTAATGTTGATGTTTATTGATTCGGCAAGACAAAGGCTAATGTGAGGTCACGGACCCTACTTTCAATTACAACAATTTCATATATTTTATGAGTTAGAAGATCGTGATCTCGTTGTACCAATTCTATGTCTATCGACTATCGTGACACTATATCTAATGATAACAAGAACGTTGTTGCTTCCTTTTTCTTCTTTGTCAAGCGATCTATGTTGTTGGAGGCAAGAGGAACAACTCACATAACAAATGTTCTACTTTAAATGCCAGTTCTTGAATGTGGTGTTTCTATGTCGGAATGCGTCATGCCCTTCTCTAGAATCGATGTGGTCGTCAACAATTTTGTTTTAATATTAAAGATGTTATTCCATATGATACCTTCCAAGTATCACATGGAATAACACCTTAAATACAAAAAATAAAAATAAAAAATTTGATAACTATCATATTAATTCTGGAGAAGGTCATAACGCCATGGTAGTGAATTGCACAACATTTGGGATGGGGAGTTGGTATTTCGGTAGAATCTTTTGTTATGTGACTTGTTCCTCTAATGTTTGGATCTCTTGATGAAGGAGGAAACGACGACGTTGTCATTGTCATTAGCTATGATAGCGATAGATAGTGGTGTACCGGTGTTGAACAATCCTAGCTCAAATGATACATGAATTTGTTGAAATGGAAAGTGGGGTTTGACATTAGCCTCCTCTGAGTCAACATCACCATTAATGTACTGTCAAGTCATAATTAATCACCATTAATTCCCATAAGGGTCTAGCACAATTAGCCTAACTTTTCCAATTTCACTTACACGTCATGCTTTTCTTTTTCTTTTTTTCACACTTGACCAATGATAACCACACTCGTCAGTAACATCGCGATTTTATGGCATAATGTCGTATTCCCCTTCTCCGGATTCAGCATGACCGTCAATAATTTTTTTATATTGAATGTGTTATTACTTGTGTCACATGAAACAACTTCTTGCACACATGAGATGTCTATATGTGCAGGAAGTCTAATGAAATAACTTATTGCACACATGAGATGTATATGTATAATATAGTAGCATATTGATATTTCGTGATTTTTTTAATATATATTTGGTAATTAAATTTTAATAAAATAGAATGATTATTTAGCCCAAAACTCTACCATAATTCCTGATTAGACCAATACAATATGGGCTGGCTAATATATATCGGGTCCAATCACATACAGTTGATGAGAGAAGACTTTGGGTTAGATTATCTGTTTCTTGGACTGTTGATGGTTGTTTGTAGTGATATGAGTATGATTCTCCTTTGGCGCTATGTGCCAAATTGGGGTGGGTACCTGTAATGACACTCCGACGCTCAAGTTAGTATCAAAGTCAATATTCTTACTGAATTAGATTGTTATACCTGGGTATGTACTCTTTGTTTATATAGTGAATCTGATGCCGCCTTGGATAGGCGGTATGCCTTTTGATTGGCTGTTTATGGGCTGCAGGTTCAGCTGGTGCCTTTCTGGCCTTATCTCTATTATGTCAAGCTATCTGGGTAGAGTGGTGGCAAGCTGAAGCTATCCTTTATGTATTGATTTTGTGGCGCTGTGGCTTCTTACTCGTGCTTTATTGACCTATTCCTTAACTTTGAAGTCATGTTTAAAGACGGTTTAGGTGCGCGATATGGATATCGCGCATTGTTCGGGCCTTATGTGTTTGGGCTTTTAATCTTTGGGTTTTAACCCTTTGGTGGACTTATTGTATTTTATCCAGATCAGTTCCATCATTATCACTTAAAAATTTATGGGTTTGTTAACATGTGCTTATAATTAAAAACATTACATACATTTAATTTCAATGAATTATCTTAACAAAAAAATGGTTCAATGTACATTTTATGAGCGAATGCATAGATTAATAATACTTTTAAATAACTATAATTATTTTCTTAATAAGATCAATACAAAAGTTTTTATTATAGAACAATTAATTATTTGGTTAAATTACATTCGCATTTCTTCAAAGATATTCAAATCACAACGTCTTTTATTTCATTTTGAAATATTACACTTTTAAGTCTTATCTCCCACGAAATAAAAATGTGCTACACTTGTTACCAAAAAAATAAAAAATAAAAATGTGCTACACTAACAAATCTCTTAACAGCAATAAATAATTACGAATGAAGTTCACTAGGACAATTTTCCTTTTTGTGACCTTTATTGTCATTGACAACTAATTTTGAACGCTCTTACTATGGAGTTTAATATTTTGGCACTATTGACTTAGGAATTTTATTTAAATATTTTGGAATTATCAAAGTCAATAATAAATGTGTTCAAAACTGTCTTCCAAAAAAAAAAAATTGTGTTCAAAACTGTCTTCCAAAAAAAAAAATTGTGTTCAAAACTGACTATCAATAATATTGAGAGTTGCAAAGAGAAATTTTTTTCTTAAGGCTTTGTTTGGGAGTTTGGAGGGGAAGGAAATGAAGGGATCCAAGGGGAAGGGAGGGGAGGGGAGGGGAAGGAAGGGAAATAAATTGAAAGGTATTCTTTTCTCTTGTTTGGGAGTTAAAAAAATGATAAGGGAGGAAAATAGAGGGTTAATGAGATATTTTTATTATTTTATCATTTTTTAAAAATAAATATAATTATTATATTTAAAATTTCTAACAAAATTATTTATATACTTTTCACAATACTAAAAAATATCATATTTTCGACGTAGAAATCGTTGCAAACGATGAAAATTTCGATACAAAATTATATTTTTGTCAAACGCTTTTCGTCGAAAAGCGAAGAAATTTTTTCTCCGATCAAAATTTTCGACGAAATTTAGTTTTCGTCAAAAGTTTTGTCAAAAATGATTTCCTCCATCAAATGTTTTAAACGAAAAAAGAATTCCTTCAAAAATTTTGACGGAATGTTTTCCGTTCAAAATTTCGATGGAATTGTGTTCTGACAAAATTTTTGACAGAAATTGTTTTGTCAAAAATTTTGAGAGAAATGTTTCATTCGAAATTTTCGACGAAATTTAGATTTTGTAAAGAATTTTGACTGAATATTTTTTTCGTCAATATTTTTTATCGAAATATATTTTGTCAAAATTTTTTACGGAAATATTTTTTGTCAAATATTTTTGATAGAAATGTGTTCGGTTGAAAACTTTGATGGAAATGTGTTTTACCAAAAATGTTTAACGAAAATGTTTTTGTCAAAAACTTTCGACAAAATTTAAATTCTGTAAAGAATTTTGATTAAATTCTTTTCCGTCAAAAAATTTCGATGGAAATGTGTTTCGTTGAAAATTTTGATGGAAATATTTTTCGTCAAAATTTTTTATGAATATATTTTTTGGTGAAATATTTTGACGAATTTTAGAATCCATAAAGAATTTTGACAAAAAGAAATTTCGGTCAAAATTTTTTACTTAAATGTTTTTAGTCACAAATTTTGAAGGAAATTTTTTCGTCGAAAATTTTTATGGAAAATTTTGATGAAAATATTTTCCGTAAAATTTTTTGACATAATTGTTTTACGTAGAAACTTTTCGATGGAAATGTGTTTCGTCAAAATTTTGAACGAAAGTATTTTCGTTGAAAATTTTGACGAAATTTAGATTCTATCAATAATTTTGACTATTTTTTTCGTAAAAAATTTATTTCACTGATTATGGCAAAAAATGGTTTCGTATCTACTTTTGTCTTTAGTTTTGACGGAAATTTTTTGACGTATATGATTTTCAACAAAAATTTGATCACTATTTTTGACAATATTTTTCGTCAATAAATTATGTCGGTATTTGAGACTTTTCTAATAATGTCACATTTAAAATGATTCACATTTATATAGTTTTCACATTTTAATGTTTGGGATAGATAAGTAATTTTTAATATTTTCTCATTCAAACCCCCCAAATTGGGGGAACTTTAATTTTAAGAAGAAAGATGATTTTGTAGGGTTCAGTAAAAATTCCCAATTCTTTCCCCTCATTTTTTTAAACTCACAAATAAGGGAAGGACTTTCTAAAACCCTTCATTTCATTTCCTTCTCCTCCTAAAACTAACTCCCAAACAAAGCCTAAGATGTTTGTTCATAGCTATTCATTACTATTAAGGTTTGTTCAATTAAAGTGGACTAAAATGTAATCTCTCATTTTCAAATAGAAGGAATTATGGGTGTTCGCGGTTTAGATTGGATCGGTTTTGGAAGCAAAAATCATTTGATTCAATCCCTTCGGTTTAATCATGTAATCATCCATTCGGTTTAGATTTTTTTCCAAATCCGATCCGATCCAATCCAATTTTTTTCAGTTTGGATTGGATCGGTTTTCGGTTTTCTGAAAATCCTAAAATTTGTTTCTTGACTATTGTGCAAATAACATTCTTTGTATATATTGACTTTGTAAATTTTTTATTTTTGAAATACAAAAGCATTAGTAAACGATAATATAATTTTTTTTTGTGGGGCAATGAGATATGAAGCTCTACACATATAACATTTTATTGATGAGATGTTATTAGGTTTTTTCTTGGATTTAGTTGATAGGTTAATGAGTCATGGGTTTAGAAATTCTTGGGCTATGATTGAGGAAAGACCCAAGTAGGTAGAGGAGAATAAATATATTGGATCCGTTTGGATTGGATCAATCCAAAAACCGATTCAATCCAATTAAAATTTGTAGATTTTTTTTTTATTTTTGATTTTTCGATTTATTCGGTTATCGGTTTTTCGGTTCGGTCACCGTGGTTTGAATCGGTTTATGAACACCCATAGAAGGAAAGACAATATAATTTGAGCATAAAAAAATTGTAATTTACTCTAATTTTTGGTAAATGTGTTTTTATTTTTTTTGGAGGTTTTAAATGTGTTTTTATTAATTAACATATAAATTTATTCTGCCATTTTAGATGATTCGGTGTAATTAGGTCTTACTGTTCGTGTTTAACGCATATATGCAACTCCCTGTAGTATATATGTTACAATCGGTGCAAGGAATGGTGATTCTATTTCATATTTTATTCCATGAAATGAGGTTTCTCATATTTGTTCACAGAAAGAGAGGAATAATTATTTCATTCTGTCTAATCATTCTATAAAATTAGGAACCATCATTCCCCATACTCTATGGAAAGAGGATTAATTTCTTTTTTCTTGCACACATTTAAAGTATAGATTGACAATAATTACCTTTATTAGATATATTATTTCTAATTTTTAATTTTATTTTCTACCTACCCGTTATATCTTAAAATTAATTTTAAATAAATATAAAAACTTAAAAAAAATAATTATGCAAATACATGGAAATTTTTAAAATATAACAATATTACAAAGGGAAAAACTACTCTCACGCTACTACATGTGATAAGTTTCTCTCCTATACACCCTTTGATAATTATGTCACCCTTTTTTTTTCAGGTGGTGGAACTCACAAATTTGTCTCTATGACATAAGATAACTTATCTCCTTTAACATGAGATTAATAAAATCTTATTACAAAATGCAATTATTATCCAAAGTCTCCTTAAGAAAATATGTTAAGAAAAGTGTAATTACAAAGTACGTTACTCAAAATATTACGAACATGTTACTTTCCTCTCACAAATAAAATAATTCTTATTCAAAAGGTTTAGGCACGAATTGGTTAGCAAACTGTGCTTTCAAGGAGAAAGTAAAAGTTTGAGTTCCAGCACTAAAATTGGTTTAGTGGTTTGTATTAGGTTGTATGTTCAATTTTTACCTATGTATAAAAAAAAGAATTGAGTTCTACTATTCAAAAGAATAGTCTTACATGAGTGTAATTTGGCAATCTTCTTTTCTTTTTTAACTATAATATTTTATTGGATTAGAATCATTTTACACTAGTATAAATTACACTCTTAAACTTGTCCGTTGATTCTACTTATATTTAAGGGTTCAATTTTTTTGATAATGTGAACTATTGGATACAAGTGTATCAATGATCAAGATTGAGTGTAATTCTTATACCGATGTAACAATATCTTACCCTTATATTATTATTAAATTGTTAAATATTGAATTTATTCGATTAAATTGAATGAGTAATGTCCAGCGGATAGCTAATATTTCTTTCTACGAAAAAGTGAAGCAAATGCCTGACAATGGTGCGTCAGTATCTCCAGTAATTAGGGGGGGGTGTTTGGAGTGTATTTTTAGTACAACTGGAGTAGGTAATTTCTTACCCAAAAATAAAAGGAATGGAAGGAAATAATCATAAAGGTGAGAACAGTGTAAACATTTTTTTTTTTATATTTGATAAAAAATATACTGAGTGGTTGGTATATGTGATGTACTGAAAATATTTCCATGTGTTTGAAAACACTTGAAAAATAGTGTCAGCACTCGATTCTCTGTAATTAACCAATGCTTTGTACGCAATTGTGGATTCCCTCACCACTGTTCTAAGCCTTTATTAAGTGTTGGTGACAATTGAAAGTGTGTAAGGCAATATAGAGCGAGAATCACGCAGGTGATAATTGTGGGTGTAGTGGTAGTGATCAAGAGATTGTGGGTGCAGTCCCACAACTCGAATTGGAGAGTCAAGGCGAATACTGGTCTCGATGGATACAACTTCCTAAAAACTCATCGCGGGAGTTCTTTGACTGGGAACTAATCCCGGAACAAAATTCAAGCATTATATACAAGAGTGTAGTAAGAGAGAAATTCTCTCATGTTGAGAGATAAATAAAGTAGGCCTATCAATTTTTAGAAAAAAAACATATTTTTTGAAGTGAGAGCAATACGAGAGATCAATCTCATGTAATATAAGCGTATAATTTCCTTTATGCATATATAAAGGGAAAAACACTTATGCTATTACTGCATAAGCATTCTCCTCATGCAACACACTCAACCAAATTTGTAGTTTTTTTTTGGCCCCACCATATTTTTGTGTCATCAGGAGAAGACAAAGCTCTACAGCAACTCCAGACATACAAATCCCATATATACATTGTTAATCTTGTTTGTTTATACTCACAAGATACCTTTATATAATTAAAAAAATATTTCTGCAGTCACTGCAGATAAATTATCTGTATTTACTCCCAAAACGATGTCGTTTTGAGATTGAAAGATTATAATTATAAAGATTATAATAACCCTGAAATAAATTAAAGTTACAAAAATACTATGATTTCCTTTCCAAAATGACATCATATTGGACTTACTGCAGATAACTTATCTACAGTGACAGCAGAAAAAACGAACCCTTATATAATTCATGGGTTTAACTTTTTTACAATTAATGCAGAAAAATTATTTGCTATACTAAAGGTAGTATGTAGTGTAAGTTTTGAAATCTAAACAAAAATAGATTTCAATTCAAAAGTTACACTATACACTATCCTTATTATATAGTGTATTGTGGATAAATTTTCTGCACAAAAATATTTTTTTCCATAATTTATATCAAATTTAATTGCATTTCGCTTTGATCCCATATAACAAATAGAGAAAATCTTTTCTGCATTTTATGCAGAAAAACCTTTTTGCTCTCACAGCTTTTTTTTTTTTTCTTTTTTTTTATTTATTTAAATTTAGTGGATCCAAGTTTTTTTGTTTCAGTGGTGATCGGACCAAATACGGTTGGGATGACCCAATGCGTATTAAGCCCAAATCACACACGGTTGAGATTCCTTGGGAGGTTACTGGCCTGGGCCTGGTATTGCTGTTGGGGGATGAGCTTGAGCTCTTTGTCCTTCGTCCTTCACGTTGCTCCAGATGGGGGTACCTGCGAAGACACTCCGATGCTTAAGTCAGTATCAGAGGCATGTGTTTATATTGTGAAAGTAAAGGATGATCGTACCTTGGTGGTACAACGTATGTTTATATAGTAGTCGAGATGTATGCTTGTAGGATGCCTTTCTTTATGGTGAAGGCAAAGGTTCCTTGGTACCAACGTAGTGTGGCTGTCATGTTTAAATGTTGAGGAGCTTGACGCCATGGTGTCTAGTAGTAGAGTCATAGCGAGCTGGAGCTGTCCGTAGTTTACTAGTGTGAGGGCGCGGTGGTGTTGCCTTGGCCCTTAAGTTTACTGTCTGTAGAAGGTATTCTGTTGCGTGGGAAACAAGTACATCCTGCATGTCGTGAAAAGGTATTATGCCGTGTAGGACGAGATAGGGTCATCGTGCTGGTGTGCCGCGATAGGGTTATCGCGCTGGTGTACCGCGACAGGGTTATCGCGTCTGTGCCTGCCCTTTATGCCTTTATTCGTGGTCCTATATGGGCTTAGACTTTCATGTGTTTATTGGGCCCTGGTTAGGCCTATATTATATCCGTATCAAGTGGTAACCCTAACAAATAATTGAATGATACGAAAATTATTCCATTCCCAAAGCTTAAAAGGTGTTTAGTTTATTTATTCATTTATTTTTTAATTTTCAGTTTATGTATTTTCATTGATAATAATAAAAATATCATTTTTTTTTTCCATCTAATTTCTCGATTACCAAATTATTATTTTGATCAAAATTTCAATAAAAGTAAAAAGAAAAAAAACGCAATAGCTAGTAATTGTTTGCTTTAGGGTGGAGCGAAGGAGGTAACGCATTTGCGCTTACGCACTGAAACTGAACCTTAGGAGCTAGGACCACCTCGCACAAGCTGTCATTTTTATCGCTTTGTGTTGTGTACATTGTCATATTTTCAGGGGAGAGAATTCAAAATTCAATATTAAAAAATAAAATAAAATAAAATAAAAAGTGGGAGGAAATTTCTTGCCAGCACCGCCACTCCCTCACACACACTATATATCCAGTCTTAACACCTTCCCACACACCCTTTCCTTAATTTTAAACAAAACTTTCTGTTTCTCTCTTATCTTTTGTTTCTTGTTCTGGCTGTCGAGGAAATTAAGAAAATAGATAAGATAGTTTGCATGAGTTGAGTTGAGTAACGATGCAGACGGAGGAGCCTCTTCATCAGCTATCATCTTCTCCGAGTTTCAGCAGTTACTCTTCCGAGACCTTCGCTCAGATAGCTGCCAGAGTCATCCACGAACTCAGTAGCGACCCTCGTTCCCTCGACGACACTCTTTTTCAGCCGTGGGATCAAAACGACAACCTCGGAAACGACGACGTTAAAGTTGACGTTGACGTTAGCGATGACTTCGAGTTCTCTTCCATTTCCAGAGACCCCAATTCGTCTCCTGTTTCCGCTGATGACATTTTCCACAACGGCCAGATCAGACCCATTTACCCATTATTCGGCCGCGAAGCTTCCGTTTCTCCCGTTCCCACGACGAACGGCGAAACGGCAGCGGCGGAGGTTGGGTCTCGCCGTCGTCGTTTACCTCTCAGGAAGCTCATGTTCGAGGAGGGAGAGACGGAAAACGACGGCAACGAGCTCGACGGCGTGGCTGCGGGGACATACTGCGAGTGGACTCCACGGTGCAAGAAGAGCAGCTCGACGGGGTCGTCGTCGTCGAAGCGGTGGAAGCTTCGGGACTTGCTCCTTCGGAGCCACAGTGATGGGAAGAAAGAACCACTCTTGTTTCTGGGTCCCACCAAGAGGACTAACAAGGTGGCGCCCAAGCACGGCGGATCCGCCGAGAATGGTGGCGCCGGCGCGGCGAAGGGTGTGAACCAATCTCAGAAGAAGTCGTTCTTGCCTTACCGGCAGGAACTGGTTGCGTTGTTCAGTAATTAATGGGAATGAACTTGGTCGGAATTTGCAACCATTTTGAAACCCAAATCAAGAAGCTATAGCACAAATTATATAATTTTGTCCTTTATTGAATGAATTCCATTTCAGTGGCTTTCTTCTAGTGTAATTAAAGTGGAGATATGTTATTATTATTATTGTTATTTTTTGGTGGTGGAGATATATTATTATCTTTAATTTGGTTATAGATAGAATTGTTGGACACCATTGGGTTAATTTAGAATTTGAAATACTTTTCTTGGTGGAATCAGAGATAAGTTAAGTATAGGGTATGTGGATGGGTTTATTTCCTAATAAAGTTACAATTGAATAACTAGCATTTTGAAATTGGAAGAAGTAACTCAGAATATGATCAGTAGAGCATAGGTGTAAATGAGTTACACCGGATCTACTGTGTAGTTTATATCATATCAGATTCGATTTATTAAATATAGTCAGATAGAATATGTTTAGACTTTTAAAGAAATTTATTTAAAAAGTAAGTCATAGATTTTCTTTTACATATCGGACCTATAAGTCTACATGTTATCTTATATCATTTTATTTATTTTAAATAAAATAAATAAAATTACTATTTTAATAATTTAAAATAATAAAATAATATTATTTTAATTAGTGAATGTTTAATAAGTTTAAATAGGTTAACAGTTATATAATTTATAATTTGAGCTTATATAAAACTAACAGACTAGGTTATGTTTAAAATATTTTATACAAGTTTAGACTATTTAAGCTGAAGTTTAACCTAATCTAATTATGCTAATAAGAATCAGGCTGCATGTTGCGGTAATGCAGGGTAAGTTGTGCTTTTTTCACGAAAAAAGAAATCGTGTGGGTCTCACACGTCGGTGATGTTTATGACAAAAGTTAAAAAAGTATTGGTAATAATAGCAGAAGAAAGCTAGCAAGTCTTTGTGGACTGGCGGAGTTATTAAAGAACGGAGCCAATACGGTATATATATCCAGAGTGAGATGTCATTTGGCTTCTTCTGAACTTGAAAGATTACGTGTGGTTTTTACGTATTTTTCTTTTAAACATTGTGGGGTAAGGCTCCGTGAAAGGAACAAATTACCTTATATTAGACACTAATCGGGGTAAATCAGCCTAGAAACGTCAGCCACAAGGAGAAATGTCAAATTCACTGGGGTTCTCTCCAAAATTGGAAGGTGCTTCCATGATTCCACGCTTTGTTGGCCATCCAATTTGCACAACATTTGCCTTCCCTATAGGTGTATAGAGTAGCTGTTTGATCAAAGGCAATGACACTCTTGGAGTCACTTTCAACTTTAAGTTTAGATATATACTAACTAGATCCCAAGCTACTTCTTTGTCCATTTTGGATTCCCGGAAGTTCTGCCATATAGTAGAATATTGTCCCAACCATTGAGTGAAACCAAGGAGCTATTCGCCAAAGTAACTTTTGAATTTTGATGATACTATAACAACTGACTTCTCTCGGGTTGTTGTGGCCTGTGAGAAACACCATTGAATAGGTGGACATGATATAGTCAAAGATACTGAATAGGTCTTGGAAAGGTTGAGTTTTGTACCTTTGAATAGGTGGCTATTCTTCCACTGCCAGAGGAACCAAGTTGTTACCATGAAATTTTCTTGTTAATTGAAGTCTCTACCATACCCATACTCAAATTTTAGGTTGTTTACTATCCAATCATGCAGATCATCCCCAAAAAATTGATTAACATGGTGAGGGGCAAACAATTTAATCCACAATTTTGAGGTGATAAAGTAGTCTTAAGAGCATGGTTTGTAGTTTCCTCATTGTTAGCTATCACCTTGACCCCACTTGCTTCTTCTAAGAGGAAGACTTTACTTTCTATCTTTTGTGGATTAATTGATGTCGCATTTCTTTCAAGAGTTGAAGTGACATTATCTGCCGGACCAAGATATCATTTTATTCTTTAAATAATGTATTTTAATATATGATTAGACAGTACTATAAAATAATTTTAGATTAACAATGAAATTCAATTAATATTTTAATTATATTATATATTGAAAACTCAGTCTTTAAAAGCTATATAACAAGTGACGTGAAAGTCAAAGCATTCAAAAGTGGCCCTTAATTATAAATTTATAATAACACACTCAAGTTGAACTGAAGAAACCAAGGCCTATAAAAATATTACTCTGTTATTAACTAACACACCGACCTAATTCTAGAAGAAAGAAAAGAAGGGGAGGTTATGGTTTGAGACTTTGAGTTTACCTTCTAGAAAGCAAGTTTCAACTCTGGACTAGCAATCGCTTTGGCCGTCACATTCGAACATGTCCTTGCCTAACTATACACAACTTAATCCTCTGTATTTAGAGCGTTCGAGATTTATGAACCTCCCTTACATGTGAAGTACAATTTTGTGGGAAATTTTACTTTGTTTAGTATTTGGTCTATTTAACTTCTCCAATTTGTATATAGCTTTTATAGTAAAAAAGAAAAGTTTTATTGTTCTAGATCAACTTCACTTTGTGAATTCCAAAACTGAGATCAAATTCATGATGTGAGGGAAAATACTATTCCTTTTGTGTCATCTTCTAGGGGAACAAACTTTTGGGTATAACGAAAGTAAATATATCCTTATCTAGAAGAGAAAAAATAGGGATATAAAAGAAAATAATCATAAAAATAAAGATAATATAAATGTGTTATTTTTTTTTTATATTTGATAAAAAATTTATCGAGTGATCAGTACATTTGTACTACTGAAAATATTTTCATTCCAAGGATGCAACAAGAGAGTTACCAACTCCCAAAAAAAACTAGTGAGAAAAGGCAGACCAAGTCTATGGAATGTTTGGAAAAAGTAGAAGCACGCCAAGACTAAGCAATGTGGTTTGTTTCCAAAATCATTGGTGATGTTATATAAACTGTAAATACCATTTTTGGTCCTCAGCAAATTTTATGACGTCCGTTTTAGTTCCTAGCAAATAAAAAGGTTATTAGTGGTCCCTAAGAAATTCAAAATTGACCTATTTAGTTGAAATCGTGGTCCTTCACAAATTCAAAAAAGACCCACATTAGTCCTTCAAAAGGACTAAAATGGGTCCACTTTGAATTTCTTAAGGACCACGAATAGTCTTTTTATTTGTTAGAGACTAAAGTGGGTATCGTAAAATTTGCTGAAGACCGAAAATAGTATTTACTCTTATATAAATAATGGGAAAGCTATTTTTGCAATTTTAGCATAAATAGTTTGTCCACCATATACATAAAAAAAAGTGTGATCGATCAAATTTTTCTCTTTCTTATTTTTGTGTTTATAGCAAATAAATTATTTCGGTCACAAGTGCACAAATAGTTTTTCCATAAATAATATTTATTATATACAAAATTATACTTTTTATCTTTAAATTCATTCTTGAAATTATTAATGTCTACCTTAAAATTTTTATATTAAAATATAATTAATCATTTCATATTTAAATATTTGATTTGTGTATATTTGTGGTACATTCTTTTATGAAATTAATATTTGTCGTATGTTATAGAAAATAATTTTATCTCCTGCACACACATAAAAATATGCACTGCCTATATTTTCTTTTTCTTTTTTTCTTTCTTCTTTTCACATAAATCTTACATACTTTTATATTTATATAAAGGGATTTATATTTATTATGCAACATGATACAATTTTTTTTTTTACACACACAATATTTTGTGAGGCCCGTATTTTTTGAAGCAAACAAAAAATACGTAAGGCACGAAAAACGAATCTCTATAACATGACACGATCATTTTTCTTACAACATAACTTTTATAAAATCCTTGTATAAAAGATAATTTTATTTCCCGATAAAGATTAATATGTTCTTTTATTTGTTTCTTATGTAATTTTCTGTTTCTTACCCATTGTATAATCTTCATCTCCAATTGGTCGTTGCTCTTGGTCATGGATGACTCTGCGGTCTCCCTGTCTTGTCCTTTGTGCATTTTTTCTGGGCAATCTCATTGAACAAAGCTTTCAAACAGACAGTGGAAAACGCATTGAGTGAAAGTGAAAGAGACAGAGGACAGGCACTTTCTTTTGCTTTTTGGAAGTAGTAGCTATGAGAATTGAGATAAGGATAACTTTTTCCATACTCAATTATTCCTCCTGACTCCTGAGTACTTCTACCGTTTACATTTATGAAAGTGTATTACTGAAACCCACAAAGTAATAACAAAATGCAATCACGAAGGTTGTTATTACTTGCATATAAAATAATAATAATGTAAATATATAATGTTTTTATTAATTTTTCACATAAAATAAGTTTATTTTGTCGTGCAAGAGAATAACATGCATGTAAATTGTAAATATAAATGAGACAGTACCAATTCATATAACATTATATATGAATGTAACTTACATTCTCAAACTTACGACATAAGTAATAAATTAGAATTGATATAAGAATGTAACTTACATAGAATGATGATTGATGGCCTATAAAAAAACAAGGTAATAAATTATTATTATTTTAAATAGATTGAGGTAAAAAGCTTGGACGTATAAACAAGTAACAATATAACATTATTATTAGATTACAATACTCATTGTGGGAAATAGGAGCCGTTGATGTAGCCCAAACATGAAACCCGCACATACAATTCATTTGTACCAGACAAACTACCGCGGAACAAGGGGGCAAATATGAAGATACTTTTGACTTTCTTTTTCCCTTGAAAGACCTAATAACCTAGCTTCGTCAATGATACAGTTTCATTGAGGATACCAATTGTAAAGAAGCTCAAAGGAGTGGGAGTGTCTAAGACCTTATAAATTCTACATTAGTTGCTTATATAATTAATGTGAGACTATATATCTCAACACACCTTCTCACACAAGAGCCCTTTGGGCTAGAAGAGTGAAATTGCACAAGCTCAATTTTTGATTTATCTTTTTGTGTTTTTTTTTTATTTTAATTCTACTTTAAAGTGGGAGGCGGTGAGGGTTGAACTTGTGACTTTATAGTCACTCAAGCTCTGATACCATGTAAAGAACCTTGATACACCACCTCAAAATCTAGCTCAAAGCGTGAGAGTGCCCAAGGTCTTATAAACTTCACATTAGTTGCTTATATGACCAATGTGAGACTATATATCTCAACACCAATGATAATAATATATGAAGTTTAATGAATTTTTCAGTACAAGTAGCTGGTTGTTCATCTAGCAAAAAAATAAATGAAATACATTTTTGTAGTCTAATTCAGCAATCCAAATGTTGCATTGCAATCCAC